TTTTTACTGGGAAAACTTCTCACTCCCACGGGATACCGACTTCCACGCGGACGAAGTCGCGGGCGTCCACTAGTCCTCAATAAAGTAAAATTGCAACAAAAAATATGCATTAAGTATGCGTGATGTTTGTTACCACAAAACTCAAAATATCACAAAACAGCATGAAATAAAAACTTTAAAAAAATATTTTTTTAAGAAACACTGAAGTCTGGTGGTTAATATGTAATTAACTACAGAAAACCTCAACCCGACTTCAATGTTCCTAAAAAAATGTAACCGCTTTAAGAAAATATTATTTTCCCTTTTTTTAATTTGAAGTGGGTTCCATTTTTTTCTTTTTGAGGTATGAAACCATAATAGTAAAAATCAGCCCACAAGCTGATTTTAAACTGTGTCATTAAATTTATATTTTGTCAGAAAGCTTGATTATAATAGTGGTCACTTACATTCAATAGCTACATAAATCAAACAGTTTCTTTGTACTAGGTTCCAATGGTTTTTTGGAGTCCAACTCTCTTTATTGATAAAAAATATACATGTCCAAAGCCCTTCATATCTGTCAGATGCTAAAAACATCCTGAAATAACATTATTTTATCATAATCACATTTGTACTAAATAACAATTTTATTATGTAACATAAACTGCCCGTTGCACAAACGTCGATCAAAATTGTCATTAGTTTAAATTATCACGAATATTCGTATACTCCGAATGTCATCACGAATTTACATAACAAATTCTTAATTAACATTAAAAATAACTTTTTGAACAAAATATCGTCAATGGTTAAACTTCACTGCTTACATCTTTTAGTTAAAAAATAACATTACGTTTATTACTTTGTTAAATTACTCGTATTCACCGACACCATTTTATAATAAAACTGACAGCGTGATTGACATAGCAATGGATAGGTATTAATTTGTATATTATCAACACTGTGTATTTAACCTCATCGCAGTGCTATACTGCTAAAAATACAGCGTCGAGCAGCCTGTTAATAATACAGATTCAGTCAAATAATTAAGTTTTATTCGACGATGCATTCCGCACTGTATTTTAATAACAGAATAACAAAGCTGGTGAAACTGAATAAAATGCGACAATTTCTCTAAATGAAAATGTTTTGAATCCCTGAAAGTAAACTTTATATCGTTACCCTGGCCTTACAAAAAAGTGCATTGCGGTTTTATGAAATAAAAAAAATATATATTATGGTACTGACATGAGAAACTTTATTTTTGTCTAGATTATCCTGAAGACGCAGTGAGTCGCCGTTCTGTAGTTCACACCTGAAACGCGAATACATAATTTTTATGTCTCAATTATGCTGTCATTATTTTTTTTTAATTTACCTTGTTATTCTGTTTTATGTATTAAGAGCACTTGTAAATGGCAATATTTTATGCTATCGGTTTGCAAATGTACAGCGGTAGCTCTTGCATTGAGAAAAACTGTCAGGAGTCTTAGCAAATGCTGCTTTATTCTCCCTGTTTTATTCATAGAGATATTTGTGACTGCTTTATAAATGGAAATGGACTGAATCGTCATGAGCATAACCATAATTTATTTGGGGGTGAGGCCAAAGTGCAATTTAAAGATAATCTTACTTATTAATAACTGGATGGACTGGAATTGGATTTCAAACCATCAATTTTTTATAAGACAAAAAAATTGCAGGTGTTGTGAAAGCGGAAAACAATATATTCAATGAACATGTAATATACTTTTTAAAGTCTAAAGAAATGCGATATCAATAACACAATACAGAATTGAAAATAAGTTTAGTAAACTCGGTAACTTACCAACAATCATTTATATAAGCATTATTTATGAAATCAATGAATATTATTGTATTTTCGAGTATTAAATGGAAATGAACTGAAGTGTCATGAGTATTGCCATCATTTATTTTGGGGTGAGGCCAAAGTGCAACTTAATAGTAACCTTACTTTATTAATAATACTGACAAACATAAAAAAAATAATGACATAAAAAATACATTAAAATTATAATAGTTTAATGTATTTTTTTATGTACATAAAAAGAATATTCTCATTATTTGATGTCGTACCTACCTATTCGCAACTTTAAACAACTATTCACTGGTAATATGATAACTAGTACCTTTTAGAAAAGCTTTCGAACCCCTGAAGTGTCATATTGACAAAGACATTTGTTCGTTTACATTTTTGACCTCGAATTGGATTTCAAACTATAATTATTCCAAACTTTATCAATTTTTTATAAGACAAAAAAATAAATTGCCGGCGTGGTGAACGCGGAAAAAACATATTCGATGAACATGTAATACTTCTTTACTTTTTTAAGTCGTTTAAAAAGGAATGCGATTTGATTAACACAATACTGAATTTAAAATAAGTAAAACACGGTAACTTACCAACAATTGAATATATTAGTTCTACTTATGAAATCGATGTATATTTTTGTATTTTCTTTTATATCTAACTTATTACTGCATTGGAACATCTGATGAGACTTCTCTTTGCCATTAGACACGGTTGTGACATTTAAACTTATATCTGTAAAAAAATATAATTATATTTGATCAATTTTGCGTTAACAATGTTATCTTGGAAAATATTCTTGAATGAAAAATGGTTAGAAAATTCCACCTGCCCCCCAGATACACTCGAGTCTCTCTCAAGTCTACTCGAGTCCCATCCTAGAGTGACTGGTGCTGATGGATTTTTTAAGCATTTTTCATTAAGAATCAAAATATAATTTTATCAATAAATTAATTGTAAAATTATGGTAAAAATTTGTATTGCTCGTAGAAGTTAAAGTTTTGTATGTGCATTTTCGAGAGTTACATAAATAGTATAAATGAAAAAGGCGAAAGTTTGGGGGCTGGGTTTGGTGCATGCTGCCTGAGCATGAGCCTTCTTGCTGGATTCCAAGCGCTTCCCTCAAAAGTGAGGGTGCATCGGAGATGGTTTAGTGGTGTGAGTGTGATGTATCACTAAAATGCATTAAATAAAATCTTTAAAAAAAGGACCGACTTCAAATTTAAAAGCAGTTAACTTTTGAAATACTTACCTTAAAAGCAGTTAACTTTTTTAAGAAAATTGAAGTCATTCTGTAGTAAATTTTTAATTAACTACAGAAAACCTCAGCCCGACTTCAATGTTCCTTAAAAAAATTAACTGCTTTAAAGATAAGTATTACTTTTTCACTTTTTAAATTTAAAGTGGGTTTCCTTTTTTTTTCTTTTTGAGGTATGAAACCATAATAGTAAAAATCAGACCACAAGCTGATTTTAAGCTGTTTGATTAAATTTCTATTTTGTCAGAAAACTTAATTATAATAATGATCACTTACATTCAATAACTATATTAATCAAACAGTTTTTTTGTATGTACCAATCGTCATTCAACCGAATGCTTTTTGAAGTCCGAGTGTCTTTATTGGTATCAAATGTACATCTCCAAAGCCCTTCATATTTGTCAGATGCTAAAAACGCCTGAAATAAGATTTTTTTTAAATTATTTTATCATAATCACCTTTGTACTGAATAACAATTTGATTATGTAACATAAACTGCCCGTTGCACAAACGTCGATCAAAATTGTCATTAGTTTAAATTATCACGAATATTCAGTTTAAATTATTAAAAAATTAGGAGGTATTAAAAAAAGCATTAGTTCCAGAAGCTCTACTGCCGTGACAACGCTGTATTCGGCTATGCGTTCGGCGCTGTACTTTAATAACAGAATAGCAAAGCTGGTGAATCGACTCCATCTAACACAGATACCGATAATTATATTAGTATAATAGTAAGCTGAATAAAATGCGATAATTTCTCTAAACGAAAATGTTTTGAACCCCTGAAAGTTAACTTTATATCGTTACCCTGACCTCACATTAAAGTGCATTGCGGTTTTATGAAATAAAAAAAAATATAATATGGTACTGACATGAGAAATTTTGAGTCTGTCTGCATTACAATGAAGATTCAGTGTTTCGCCATTCGGTAGTTCACACCTGAAACGTTAAGCGAATACATAATTTTTATGTCTCAATAATGCTGATATTAATTCTTTTAGTTCACCTTGTTATTCATTTTTAACTACGACAAGCACTTGTAAATTCCAAAAATTATGCTATCGGTTCGTACATGCTAAAATAAAGCGGTAGCTCTTGTATTGAGAAAAGCTGTCAGGAGTCTTAGCCAATGCTGCTTTATTCTCCCTGTTTTATTCATAGCGATATTTGTGACTGCTTTATAAATGGAAATGGACAGAATCGTCATGAGCATAACCATCATTTATTTAGGGGTGGGGCCAACGTGCAATTTAAAGATAATCTTACTTTATTAATAACTGTACTAGAATTGGATTTCAAACCATCAAATTTTTATAAGACAAAAAAATTGCAGGTGTGGTGAACGCGGAAAACAATATATTCAATGAACTTGTAATATCTTTACTTTTTAAAGTCGTTTGTAAAGAAATGCGATTTCAATAACACAATACAGAATTGAAAATAAGTTTAGTAAACTCGGTAACTTACCAACAATCATTTATATAAACTTTATAGGGTAAACCGTATAGCTATTGCCCACTTAAGGACTTCAAACACTTTGGCTTCAAACAATAAAAAAAGTATTATAACTTTCAACCATTTATTATTTTTTTCTTATATCTAAATAAAATCTCCATCAAAGTGTTAACGGTTTTTAGTCAAAACTTACATGGCTTAGAAAATAATTAAACAAATTTAAAATTATCTAAAAATGTACAGTTATTGCCCATTGCTTACACTAATTGCCCACATCACAACACAGTAATTGCCCAGTACCTTAAAATGATAAATTGGACTTTGAACTTTAATAAAACAATCAAAACAAAACGTTTAACTTAAATCTACTACAAAATCTTAAAATAAATTGCGTTTGGCTTTATTAACCATATCAAACATTTCTTTCGCTGATGTTGATGAGTCAGAATCGTCACAATTAGAATCATCTACTTCAAATCAACGATGACACAAAAATAAATGTAAATCAGAGTAGTCTGGTATATGTTCCTTATGTTTTGGTAGGATGCAACGCACATGAAAGATTTTTGGACAGGCACTGCATGTCAATTCATTTTTTATCACGTTGAAATGACAAACTCCACAAGTAGGCTTTGGCAGAATGTTACTACAAGAAGGTTGTATTAAAAGTTTACTTAGAATAGTTATCTTTTTATTTGCTGAAATTTCTTTACTTTTTATGCCTATTTCTTTTTCTATCTTCTTTGGTGTCGGTTCGAGTTGTTGCTCAAAAGGTTCAATCAGTTGTTGCTCAAAAGGTCCAATCAGTTGTTGGCTATTATCCTCTAAACTCGTATCTATTTCCTTAGATTTAACAGTCTCACTAACTTTTTTTTTAGACTTTTTGATTGCATTTTCAGTCTTTTTCTTTTCTTTGATCAACTTTTTCTCTTCTTTTACTTTCAATAGATTTTCTTTTTCTTTTTGCTTCATATGTAATGCTGCTTTTTGTCAATATAATTGCGTGTGTGTGGCAAAAATATATTGACAAAAAAAAATATTGACAATATTATTGCGCGTGTGCAAGCCATTAAGCTAATAAATGTGATGGTAACATTGCTTACTTAATCAAAAAATTACCGATAATGTATGAAATCAATGAATATTATTGTATTTTCTTTTACAACTAAATTATTACCGCATTGGAACATCGGATAAGACCTCTCTTCGTCATTATACACGGTGGTGACATTTAAACTTATATCTGTGAAAAAATATAATTATATTTGATCAAATTTGCGTTCACAATGCCATCTTGGAAAATATTCTTGAACGAAAAATGGTTAGAAAATTCCACCAGCCCCTCAGGTACTCTCGAGTCTCTCTCAAGTCTACTCGAGTCCCATCCTTGAGTGCCTGATGCTGATGGATTTTTTAAGCATTTTTCATTAACAATAAAAAATATAATTTCGTCTTTAAATCAATAAATTAATTGTAAAAGGTTAGTGAAAATTTGTGTTCCTCGTAGATGTTAAAGTTTTGTATGAGCAAATTCGAGAGTGACATAAATGATATAAAGGAAAAAGGCGAAAGTTTGGGGGCTGGGTTTGGTGCATGCTGCCTAAGCATGAGCCTTCTTGCTGGATTCCAGGCGCTTCCCCCAAAAGTGAGGGTGCATCGGAGGTTGTTTAGTGATGTGCCCCCTGCCGGCTGTCAAGCGGCATGTATAGTGCATAATGCATTATCCATCCCCGACGATACAAAAAATGAACGACGATACTGTGTCTAGCCGTTACAAGACTTTAATTTCATTTCTTTAATAACTAAAGTAAAACAAAAACACGTTCAATTTCTATGTACAACATCATAGAAATTGAACGTGTTTTTGTTTTACTTTTATTAATAACACAAACGTTGATTTCCAAAGACGTCATATCAAAAAATTACTTACATTTAAAAATACTTCTTATTCTTAATGCTTAAAATAAAAAATCCACTTTGTCCCTGGCACTCACCCATGACCTTTTGCAATCTGGGCGACTACTCTAACTACTGAACTACCCAGGAGCTAACAGGACTCTCGGAGGACTCGCGACTCGTACGCCACCCGGAACGGTCGAAAACCACGTGCGCTCACAACAAAAAAAAATTAAAAAGTGGGAAATTCAGCACCTACATCTGTCAAAGAATAACTCTGTCAACCCAAACAAATAACTTAGAGGAATTCCCTTTTTATTACTTTAGAATTTCTCACAACTGAGTTGCCATGATTAAACTCGAGTTGTCACCTGTCATATTTATTTTGAAAATGGGAGAAATTATCAAATGTTGATTTCGAATGACATTTTCTGGTAAAGATTCGAGGGCCCCCTGAGCTTGAGGGCCCCGGGGCACTGCCCCGCCTAGCCCCTTGGTAGCTACGCCACTGACCATATATGTAGAAATAGACATTGAATATATAGGATAAGAGAAATGTAAAGTAAATAGGATAATTATGTAATAATAGAATAAATAATATAGCATAATAAGACAAAATGTAATAAACAAAATTGAAATAGAACCATATAAGAAATAAGTTGTGTGGACAGAAATAAATAAACAAGTTGTACTTTTATTTAAAGAGAAACAAATAAAATAAAGTAGAATAGGAAAACTTGATATAGATGCGGCAAACCCAGTTGCTCGAGGTATGAATGAGAATGGTATAAAAGAAAGAAAAAGTATGCGGCATGGAAGAAGGATAGATGATAGAACTAGAATGGAAGAGAATTTAGAATTAAATAGGCCTGCTAATAAGTGGGGGGCAGAGTAGGGTTCGGCCAGAAATGTTGGCTGGGTTTTTTTTTTAAATAGGACTGTCGAATTTTTCAAGTACTTGTTACTTTTTCGCTACTACAGAGCATATTTTCATTAATGTCCAGGCAGTCGACCCAAACCCAATCGCAGAGTGCCAGGGACTAAGTGGATTTTTAATATTTTTAGTATACCTTTGTGAATGCAAAATTGATCAAATATAAAATAAATAGGTCCCAGTTAAAACACAAATATTCTCAAATGACATTAGAACATCGTTAGTAATCACTTTTTTAAATATTTGACACATAATATAATAATTTTATTTAAAACACCGACCTTTCAACGCATTATTTAAAAATACTACTAAAAAGGCGATGAAATGCTAAGATCACCTTGCATTTCTACAAATTATAAAAAAAAAATAAAACAATTAAGTTCACTTCACAGAAAGTCGTTTGGCACAATAAATTCATTATTTTAAATATCAGGTATTTTTTAGATATAAATTTAACATGTAGTTATTTAGACACATATTTTAATATAGTAGAAAAGTAGAAATTTTCTTCTTCTTCTTCTTCTTTTTTAATTCATGGCCTATTTGCATTTACACAATTTGGCCAATGTCACGTTTGTCTTTACGCGTATAGAAACAATAATAAAATATGTAAAATTTTGAATTTAAATAAAACAAAAAATATAGCTCTGAGCGCGTCTATCTGATTACATCGTAAAAGATAATACAAATAGAATGTATATAGAAAACAAAGATATTTATAAATTAAGACTAGACAAAGAATTTAGATAAAATTTTGAATGGGCTGGGATTCTCCATACTCAAGATACATTTTATATTTGTTGGACGTGGAAAGAAATTTCATAGTCAGAACCATCTTTAATGACATAGGTACACGGTCGAAACAAATCTATGCGAAATTAAATTATGCCATTTTTGATGGTGGTGTGTTGTGACATTGTTAATTCGGATATACAAAAATGCAGCCAATCAATTATTATGATTAATAATTTTGGTATCGTATGAGTATTCGACAAAATATGACTATACCATAATTCCGTTGTTACCCAAAACGGTACTATGATCAATTAAAAAAGAAAGAAATTCCGTACCACAATCCATAAAAACTTAAATAAACACGTTGTATGAGTAGCTCGGTGGCGTAGTGGATAAGCGCCGCGGCCCACGATCGTTGTCGTTAAGCAACTTTCGCAAGGGTCGGTCACGGGATGGGTAACCAAAAAATTACTATCTCGAGCTACTCCGCGCTTCGGAAGGCACGTTAAGCCGTTGGTCCCGGCTGCATTTGCAGTCGTTAATACCCTCCAATCCGCATTGAGCCAGCGTGGAGGGTCATGGTCCGTTCTCCTTAACCATCCATAAGGAAGGCCTGAGCCCCTGCAGTGGGGACGTAAAAGAGCTGATGATGATGATGATCGTTGTATGAGAGCCTCTTATATATTTTTTTCTGTTTTTACTTTTTTTTCTGTTTTTTTGCGGTCGTCTATTGAAGGTCCCAGTCTCTAAAAACCTTCGGTACTCTCGTCTCACTGACTCAATCCTGCCTCATCTTGAGCACACTCAGAGGGTGAAGTATCACAGAGTAAAAACAATTAAACTCAAGCTAAATGGTAAAGCAGTTTAAATAAACAATTACTGAATAAACAATAATTTGATTATTTTTAAACACACAACGGTGTCACTATGATTACGTACCTCATTAATGATGAAAAATTATGGTGTTTGAATAAATGTGTCAATATCATAAATAACATTTAATTTCCCGAAGTGTATGGTACGAGTATATGAAAGTAAAGTTTGTTAAACATACCTTCATATTACATTAAAGGATGTGCCATTGTACATAATAAACAGATTTTTAATTAATCGGTTTGTATTGTAGCATAAACATGAATTAATAAATGAACGATTTCTTCAGAAAACAATCGATTTGTTATATGAATCGATATTGTCCTTTAAGTCGTAAACATTGTTAAAAATGAGACTTTCAATAAGAACAGAGGTGTAGACAACTTTTTTTAAATTTGTGTAATAGATATACGTGAAATATATCTAAAAATTATTTTAAGCATCAATCACTTAATAAGTTCAAAATATAAAAATAAATTTAGCTTTCAAAATTTCCCGCGGAAACACGGCCCTCTGAAACTAATATCGTTCTTTTATGTTTCATCCATTAATGATATCTTTACCACCATCAATCCTCATAGGGTCCTTCACGGGGGCCCAATTTACAATTCTGAGTGTTTTGAGTTTATCCATTAATGACCAGTCCTAAATGGGACCTTCACACGGTCCCGGTGAGGAATGCTGGGTGTATTGGCTCAATTCTGAAGTAGTTAACGCGTTTGATCTGCGATTGCGATGTTTGCAAAGGCCAATACTGGGATGGATGATCATTGGTACACCCTACGTGTACGAAAAGAGAAAAGAACATACCCACCACGAAAACGATGCCAAATAATCGTCGTCGTAATCAGCGTAATCGTCATTCATTATAATTCCTTTGTCGTTATCAAAGTACATGAAAAAGTAGTAAAATGAAACGAAATGTCGCCATAGCATCGCTAACATGTCGTATCATATGGCTAATCAGGGGAGAGAGTGTGTGAGAGGTGTTTACAACTCTGAAAGGGTTGTGGGTAAACAATGTTGGACGATTCAAAGGTACATAATAAATATTCTGTGAATGATTTAAAATAATATAAAAGATAAGAACATAGGCCTCGTGGATACTTTGGTAGTGATTACTAGATTCTAAACTTGAGTGTGGCCCACATATTGATAAATTGTCGAGTAGACTTAGCTCTGCAGCATATGCCATAATGAAGATACGTAGGTTAACTGACATAGATACTGCCAGATTAGTATACTTCAGTTACTTTCATAGTGTAATGTCGTACTTCTTTAGGAATCTTTAGAAACAGAGCTTATTAGATCAATTTATTTGGATTAAAGACTCTTTAAGGGAAAAATATAAAGAAATAGACATGATGGCTGTTGCTTCTCAACATATACAAGAGAACTTAATGTAATTTCTTAAAAATATTGGTGTGTTTTCTATAAAAAGTGACGTGCACAATTTTAATACAAGAAATTAAAATAAATTAACGATGCCTGTTACTAGACCGCAAAATGATAATAATTCATTTAGTGGTCTTTG